TCACACTGTACGCGCACCCGTACGTTGAACCAGCATCGCGTTATATCAAGGGAAACACTTTTTGACGCAAGGCAGGCGATAGAGGCACTCTTGTCCGACTAGTGTGCGGGCAGGAGTCAAGCGTCATCGCGATCAGAAAGAATAAGCATATCAGAACGGAAAACAGAACGAGTTGAGAACCACTGCGGTGAGCAGCTTGAATATTAATACAATCCAATACAATGCGCCATTCTTCAAGTGAGGTCTGAAATCAGAGTCGACAGTTGAGAACAGATGGACCACGAACCTCCACGTACATAGCTTGCATGTTCGAGCGGTCCTACTCAGTCACCCTCATATGGCTCACTAGCTCAGACGGTTAGTGCGTCCCGTTAACGACGCCAAGGTCTTGGGTTTGATCCCCACGTTGGTCATTGCTCCTGAGCTCAGCATTTTTTCATCATGGGACGTCACTTCGAAAAATCCAATGAATATGAAACGAAGTTTTGCTGTCATCAACCATGCTCCCTGCCCAGCGCTCAGGTAAGTCTCACCCTTTGGAGGTTTACTTGTTGATACGAGCAGGAGGCATGGGAATGGGCACTGAGGGATGCCGGATCCTATTTTAGAGAACCAGAGAACAGATGAACACAACTCCTTAGGATGCTGTGGGCGTTCAACATTTTACCTCGATCGACTGAAGAAGGCCAACCAATCATTAATTATTCCTGGTCAGTGTAATGACCTGAGCGAGTACAATGAACCTCCTGAGCTCTATAATTTACAGATCGCTGGAACTTTACGACTGGCATTAGCTCTCCAAACCTTTTCCCTTCAATTGCAGATTTATTCCAAGGGATGATAAGGTAGTTAGATGTATCAAGGAGGAAGCGCGAGCCACCAAGGCAGAAACTGGAAGGTCGAGAGCAAGAACTTGAAGATACCTCGCAATTGGAGGACATGCCATGTAGTTTACATAAATACTTCTAGCGAATGCAGTACAGTTTTGCAACATCGGTATACAAGCGAGTCGTATGAACCCCTTTCCTTCACTACCTCCCTCCGACATAGAAAGCTAGTTAGCATCCACACTTGCAATCTGGGTTATCATCAGGCATTTAGGATACTGATATATGGATAATGACGTGCAGATCAGAACATGGACGACGCTGATCGTCACGATGCAATTTTTAGTCCTCATCCTCGAAACGCAGTATTTGAGCATCTTCATCCACTCTCAAATCCCTGTATCCACGTCTTGAGCGATTGAATACTCCTTCGGTACGGGATGCAATCCATTCCCAAGCAATGCCTGCGATGCCGACGAGATACCATGGCACCGAGGCCAGAGTATCAAGAAAGCCTGACTGGTATCTGTACGAACTGTAGCCATCTCCTGGTAGACGAATAGTTCTATAACTTTCGAGTCAGCAACCAAAGAAGCAAGACTAGTTTGTACACACACCCTCGAGTAAGCCCGCTTCTTCGATAGTAAGAGTAGCCAACGAGAGCGGTTAGTCCGAAAGGAATCAACAGGATAAATAGCCAGAAGAAGGGTCCATGAGCTTTGAACCCAGGACAAACGTGGGGAGTACCACGATCAAGGCGGTTACCATCTTTGCAGCTCGAGTATGGGATGAGGCGGTAGGCTGTTCTCTCATACCAATAATCTTCACCATTCTTACATGCTTCTGCTTCATCGTTGGGTAGTGGGGTTGCACCAGGTGACAGGACACATTCATCAGCTTCGTTTTTGACGTAATTAAATTCGCTTTCAAGTAAGACAGGTTAGGGATGGCCTCGGCTAATCACAAAAGAAATGACATACCATTCAAAATCGACCTTGGCACAGGGGCATGTCTCCATGATCTTCTCCTCAACTTTTTGCCGGTCTCCAACTACACAGTTTGCTTTTCTGACAAGACGATGATAGAGAGTCTGTTGGCGAAGGTCAAGGTCAAATATGATTCAAATGCCCGTGACATGGGATTAACCTGACGGCCAAACAGGCAGCGTTCCTCACGTTCCTCGCTAGGGCTCCAGAGTTCAAAGTCGTCCGCTCCAGGGTCCTCAAGGTTCAAAACACCTGTAAAACATTATAAACGCCACGACAGCAGTCATGAAAAACGAGACTCACATTTCTTAGACGTCAACGCAGTGAAGTCAACATGGATTGCAACGGAGCCTGGACTTCTGGGATAGTTACCCATCAGAATAAACCTACGACTCGTATCCGAGGACACGGTGACGACAAATCTAATTCGGACTTTGTCGTTGCTGAACTTATACTCCCTCCAATTCAAACCCTGGTCTGTGCTGAAAAGGAGATGGTCCGTAGGTTCTTCATCATTAACTATGACCAAGATAGATCCAGAGTCTCCGAATTCCCATAAGTGGGCGTCTTTATGGATTTCTTCCCAAGTAAAGCCCCCATCACGGCTGAGGAAAGTATCGCTGTCTTTGTATGGTGCAAGCTCTTCACCGACATTACCGACAGCCATGATGAGTCCAACCACCGCAGGACTACTGAAAGTCGCTCTGGGGTCGGTTCGCTCCGTATATCCATGCAGATGAAGGGCGCATTTCTTGTGGAAGAAGATCATGAGTACGAGTAGTCAGGAACCCAAGGCGAATCTCCTACCGCTGTATTGCATTCATAAGGCCGCCCCTGCGAATCAACTTTAGGGGGAGTCAGGGGTTTCCAGGTGCTTCCTAATGCGACGATCAGCGTCAAGATACCAGGAGTTAATAAGACCAACCATCGTTGTGCGTGATCCTAGTCTGGAGTTTCTTTTCCCTGGACACCTTAGCTTCTTCTGGGTTCGAGACAATGTTGATGAGAGCAATGCCATCGAGACCGATCATCTTTTCAAAGTCCACGTAACCCGCGTCATTGCGGTTAACGTTATCGATAGAAAGGCCAAAATAGGTGCCGTTGGAATTGGACTTGAGGATGTTTCCATAAAATGGGTCTTCGGACATTGTCATATGGAGGAACAGGGATTTTGTGCTCGACTCTAGAATGGTGTAGGCCTGGCATGCTAGTCAATACAAAAATTGGGTCGGCAGGGGACTGATGACGTACGTGAGTTTCAGGATGCATGCCCAACGGGAACTGCCCAGTCGAAAAGTGATATCCATCCAAAGAGACCTGCAATTCAAGCGAACGACCACCAGGTTCTGCCTATAGATGGTCTTCGCTCAGCAAAGGCACAACGACACAGAAACACAGGACTCACCGAAGCAACGACCAAAAACTCGGAAAACTTAGCAAACCCAACAACCTGATCAAACATCTTCTTTTTCTTCGAGAAGTAATGACCTCCAACAACCAGCTGCATCGGGCCCCCCTGCATCATGACCTGCGACCCCTTCTTCTCAGGATACGACTCACACAAAATTTCAGTCGGGTCCGTATTCAGATCCTTATCCTTTGTAAAGGCACAGTTGCGCACATACTTCTCCACCAAATCCCACTTGCGGCCATTATCCTGCGAGTAGTGTGCCTCAGCGTGACAGTTCTGTCCGGGGCAGTCTCCGTTACCCGTCCAAATAAGGGTATCCGAATTCGGGTGGAAACGCAGGACCTGGGCGCCGAAAGTGTTGGGCGGGGTAGGCGCGGATTGTTTGATCCAGGAGCTCCCCAAGTTAGTGGTGTAGTAGAAGGTACTTGTCTCTGTGATGAGGTAGGCGCGGTGGTCGGCATACTTGTGGTGGAAAAAAGCGAGGAAGCGTTCGTTTGGGAAGAGGTTTTTCCATGTGTAGCCTTCGTTGGAAGATTGCCAAACTGCGCCGTCAGCGGTGCGGACGAGGAGTGTCTAGATGAATGGATGGGTTTCGGCATCAGATGTGAAAGAATACGTTGAAAGCCTTACCGTCGAATCCTTGAAGTATGCATGTTGGGTAATAAAGCTCGGGAATTCGAACTAGAAAACCATAAGTACACATCAGACCAACCAACCACGACGCATATACTCACAGTCTGATGAATGACGTCCCCTTCCTTTGGTGCAGCTACCACAGAGCCTCAATACCTCAATACTGGAACGATCTCGATAACACCATACCTTGCGAACACTTCTTCCTGACCTTCTCGTCCTTCTTTATTCCATCCCTGCACGTATTGCCCGGGATCTTCCGATATCCAGACGAGCCCAAGTACGTGTCCTCATCCCCATCACAAACGCCGGCAGGTATAGGCTCAGGGCCAACCGGTACACATTCATCCCCTGAGCGCACGAAGTTGTAGTCACTAGTATGCGTCAGTTCGTCGGGAGTCGAAAACGAGCAAGATTGACACGATACTCACCACTCGTAATCCGCATCTGTGCACTCACAATCCTCCTCATGTTCTACAGGATCAGTGTATTTCTCCCCGACGAAGCAATCAGCATTAGGTTTTCGTCGTTTGTACCATTGCTACAACCCCACACTGAGAATAGTCCACGAAGAGAAAAGGCCAGTAAAATGAGACAGACCTTGTGTCCCATCAAGCACTCGGTTTTCCTGTCCCGTGCGTACCATCTCTCAAAGTCATTATCACCACTGCATTTCCTCGAGCGGGTTCTTGCAAAATCCAAAAAGACGATGACGACGCGCCCAATATCGCCCTTCTGGTCCCGACGCGCCACCGAGCCGAGGAGGAGGAACTTCTGCGATGTAGAATCCGGGAGGGTCATCAACCCACGGGCAAGGAGCTTCACGCCGATATCATATGTTCTCCTGCACAAAAATCAAGATCATCGCCAACACACCCGTATAGAGGCAGGTGAACGCACCAATTTTGTCCCAAATCCATCGAATAGTGAATCTTATCCGTCGGCTCTTCATCATTCACAATAACCAGGATACTCCCCGAATCACCAAACTCATACTTATGTGCCCCAGGCCGGACCATCGTCCATGAAATACCCGCATCAGTGCTGAGGAACGTATTGCTGTCCTCGTACGTGTAGAGACTCTCGCCTACGGATCCGACGCCCATCACGAATCCCGGTGCGGGGGAGGAGAAGATACGCCCGAAGTTGTGCGGAGTTGTGATAGAATGAAGATGGAGAGAGCAATGATCGGTGTCGCCAGTGTCGCAGGAGAATGGGCGGCCATCGCTGTCTTTGTTTGGGGCGCGGATAGGTTGCCAGTTGCTCCCTGTGTAACGTTTATGCTTAGAACGTGGGAAGGCAAGAGAAAGGGGACGAACCGTCGTCGAATGTGATGAGGGTCTGGAGTTGTTTGGTGGATCCACGATTCTCGACGTCCTTCGCATTTGAAACGATGTTGGCGAGGCCAATACCGTCCACGCCGTAAATCCGTTCATAATCAACGAATCCTCGTTCGTTCCTATTAGTATCCTTGAGACTCTCTACGAAGAACGTCCCATTCGAGTTGCTCATGAACAGAGTGCCGATCGACGTGCGATCATGGAGCACAACATCTA